AAATTTAGTTTCGTTTAGAATAACGCACTGTCATCCGCGATTTGGCTCTTATTGCCTATCTTATATATGTTAAATTTATATTTATATATTACAGAGCCTAGTTAAACTCTTAATTTATACACGCTGGCTTAAAGGCGTTTATTTACCAACATTAATATATATAACAGAGAAAAGTATAGAATCGAAAGGATCTGAATAGCTCAGTTGGAAGAGCAGTCGCCCGGCAAGCGAAAGGTCTCGGGTTCGATTCCCGATTCTGCGACTTTCGGATCTATATTTTTCTCTCGCACTTTATTTCTTTAGGGGGAATAGGGGATACATGGAATTAAAAATCTCTTGTAGAGATTATTCCAATTTTATATCTTGGCCGTGTCCAAGTAAAAATTTGGTGCCTTGTGCACAGGTATTTAATTCTAACGAAAAAATTTAGTTTCGTTTAGAATAACGCACTGTCATCCGCGATTTGGCTCTTATTGCCTATCTTATATATGTTAAATTTATATTTATATATTACAGAGCCTAGTTAAACTCTTAATTTATACACGCTGGCTTAAAGGCGTTTATTTACCAACATTAATATATATAACAGAGAAAAGTATAGAATCGAAAGGATCTGAATAGCTCAGTTGGAAGAGCAGTCGCCCGGCAAGCGAAAGGTCTCGGGTTCGATTCCCGATTCTGCGACTTTCGGATCTATATTTTTCTCTCGCACTTTATTTCTTTAGGGGGAATAGGGGATACATGGAATTAAAAATCTCTTGTAGAGATTATTCCAATTTTATATCTTGGCCGTGTCCAAGTAAAAATTTGGTGCCTTGTGCACAGGTATTTAATTCTAACGAAAAAATTTAGTTTCGTTTAGAATAACGCACTGTCATCCGCGATTTGGCTCTTATTGCCTATCTTATATATGTTAAATTTATATTTATATATTACAGAGCCTAGTTAAACTCTTAATTTATACACGCTGGCTTAAAGGCGTTTATTTACCAACATTAATATATATAACAGAGAAAAGTATAGAATCGAAAGGATCTGAATAGCTCAGTTGGAAGAGCAGTCGCCCGGCAAGCGAAAGGTCTCGGGTTCGATTCCCGATTCTGCGACTTTCGGATCTATATTTTTCTCTCGCACTTTATTTCTTTAGGGGGAATAGGGGATACATGGAATTAAAAATCTCTTGTAGAGATTATTCCAATTTTATATCTTGGCCGTGTCCAAGTAAAAATTTGGTGCCTTGTGCACAGGTATTTAATTCTAACGAAAAAATTTAGTTTCGTTTAGAATAACGCACTGTCATCCGCGATTTGGCTCTTATTGCCTATCTTATATATGTTAAATTTATATTTATATATTACAGAGCCTAGTTAAACTCTTAATTTATACACGCTGGCTTAAAGGCGTTTATTTACCAACATTAATATATATAACAGAGAAAAGTATAGAATCGAAAGGATCTGAATAGCTCAGTTGGAAGAGCAGTCGCCCGGCAAGCGAAAGGTCTCGGGTTCGATTCCCGATTCTGCGACTTTCGGATCTATATTTTTCTCTCGCACTTTATTTCTTTAGGGGGAATAGGGGATACATGGAATTAAAAATCTCTTGTAGAGATTATTCCAATTTTATATCTTGGCCGTGTCCAAGTAAAAATTTGGTGCCTTGTGCACAGGTATTTAATTCTAACGAAAAAATTTAGTTTCGTTTAGAATAACGCACTGTCATCCGCGATTTGGCTCTTATTGCCTATCTTATATATGTTAAATTTATATTTATATATTACAGAGCCTAGTTAAACTCTTAATTTATACACGCTGGCTTAAAGGCGTTTATTTACCAACATTAATATATATAACAGAGAAAAGTATAGAATCGAAAGGATCTGAATAGCTCAGTTGGAAGAGCAGTCGCCCGGCAAGCGAAAGGTCTCGGGTTCGATTCCCGATTCTGCGACTTTCGGATCTATATTTTTCTCTCGCACTTTATTTCTTTAGGGGGAATAGGGGATACATGGAATTAAAAATCTCTTGTAGAGATTATTCCAATTTTATATCTTGGCCGTGTCCAAGTAAAAATTTGGTGCCTTGTGCACAGGTATTTAATTCTAACGAAAAAATTTAGTTTCGTTTAGAATAACGCACTGTCATCCGCGATTTGGCTCTTATTGCCTATCTTATATATGTTAAATTTATATTTATATATTACAGAGCCTAGTTAAACTCTTAATTTATACACGCTGGCTTAAAGGCGTTTATTTACCAACATTAATATATATAACAGAGAAAAGTATAGAATCGAAAGGATCTGAATAGCTCAGTTGGAAGAGCAGTCGCCCGGCAAGCGAAAGGTCTCGGGTTCGATTCCCGATTCTGCGACTTTCGGATCTATATTTTTCTCTCGCACTTTATTTCTTTAGGGGGAATAGGGGATACATGGAATTAAAAATCTCTTGTAGAGATTATTCCAATTTTATATCTTGGCCGTGTCCAAGTAAAAATTTGGTGCCTTGTGCACAGGTATTTAATTCTAACGAAAAAATTTAGTTTCGTTTAGAATAACGCACTGTCATCCGCGATTTGGCTCTTATTGCCTATCTTATATATGTTAAATTTATATTTATATATTACAGAGCCTAGTTAAACTCTTAATTTATACACGCTGGCTTAAAGGCGTTTATTTACCAACATTAATATATATAACAGAGAAAAGTATAGAATCGAAAGGATCTGAATAGCTCAGTTGGAAGAGCAGTCGCCCGGCAAGCGAAAGGTCTCGGGTTCGATTCCCGATTCTGCGACTTTCGGATCTATATTTTTCTCTCGCACTTTATTTCTTTAGGGGGAATAGGGGATACATGGAATTAAAAATCTCTTGTAGAGATTATTCCAATTTTATATCTTGGCCGTGTCCAAGTAAAAATTTGGTGCCTTGTGCACAGGTATTTAATTCTAACGAAAAAATTTAGTTTCGTTTAGAATAACGCACTGTCATCCGCGATTTGGCTCTTATTGCCTATCTTATATATGTTAAATTTATATTTATATATTACAGAGCCTAGTTAAACTCTTAATTTATACACGCTGGCTTAAAGGCGTTTATTTACCAACATTAATATATATAACAGAGAAAAGTATAGAATCGAAAGGATCTGAATAGCTCAGTTGGAAGAGCAGTCGCCCGGCAAGCGAAAGGTCTCGGGTTCGATTCCCGATTCTGCGACTTTCGGATCTATATTTTTCTCTCGCACTTTATTTCTTTAGGGGGAATAGGGGATACATGGAATTAAAAATCTCTTGTAGAGATTATTCCAATTTTATATCTTGGCCGTGTCCAAGTAAAAATTTGGTGCCTTGTGCACAGGTATTTAATTCTAACGAAAAAATTTAGTTTCGTTTAGAATAACGCACTGTCATCCGCGATTTGGCTCTTATTGCCTATCTTATATATGTTAAATTTATATTTATATATTACAGAGCCTAGTTAAACTCTTAATTTATACACGCTGGCTTAAAGGCGTTTATTTACCAACATTAATATATATAACAGAGAAAAGTATAGAATCGAAAGGATCTGAATAGCTCAGTTGGAAGAGCAGTCGCCCGGCAAGCGAAAGGTCTCGGGTTCGATTCCCGATTCTGCGACTTTCGGATCTATATTTTTCTCTCGCACTTTATTTCTTTAGGGGGAATAGGGGATACATGGAATTAAAAATCTCTTGTAGAGATTATTCCAATTTTATATCTTGGCCGTGTCCAAGTAAAAATTTGGTGCCTTGTGCACAGGTATTTAATTCTAACGAAAAAATTTAGTTTCGTTTAGAATAACGCACTGTCATCCGCGATTTGGCTCTTATTGCCTATCTTATATATGTTAAATTTATATTTATATATTACAGAGCCTAGTTAAACTCTTAATTTATACACGCTGGCTTAAAGGCGTTTATTTACCAACATTAATATATATAACAGAGAAAAGTATAGAATCGAAAGGATCTGAATAGCTCAGTTGGAAGAGCAGTCGCCCGGCAAGCGAAAGGTCTCGGGTTCGATTCCCGATTCTGCGACTTTCGGATCTATATTTTTCTCTCGCACTTTATTTCTTTAGGGGGAATAGGGGATACATGGAATTAAAAATCTCTTGTAGAGATTATTCCAATTTTATATCTTGGCCGTGTCCAAGTAAAAATTTGGTGCCTTGTGCACAGGTATTTAATTCTAACGAAAAAATTTAGTTTCGTTTAGAATAACGCACTGTCATCCGCGATTTGGCTCTTATTGCCTATCTTATATATGTTAAATTTATATTTATATATTACAGAGCCTAGTTAAACTCTTAATTTATACACGCTGGCTTAAAGGCGTTTATTTACCAACATTAATATATATAACAGAGAAAAGTATAGAATCGAAAGGATCTGAATAGCTCAGTTGGAAGAGCAGTCGCCCGGCAAGCGAAAGGTCTCGGGTTCGATTCCCGATTCTGCGACTTTCGGATCTATATTTTTCTCTCGCACTTTATTTCTTTAGGGGGAATAGGGGATACATGGAATTAAAAATCTCTTGTAGAGATTATTCCAATTTTATATCTTGGCCGTGTCCAAGTAAAAATTTGGTGCCTTGTGCACAGGTATTTAATTCTAACGAAAAAATTTAGTTTCGTTTAGAATAACGCACTGTCATCCGCGATTTGGCTCTTATTGCCTATCTTATATATGTTAAATTTATAAAAATAATTATCTTTTGTTGTAATTAACAAATAAGAACATAATATTTAATTTGATAATTAAACAAATTTAGCTTGATAATTAAAACAAATTAAAATATTATTATATTACTAATTTTAATAAAAAATTTATTTAGAGAAATTGTTGGATTTATCGATGAAATTGACGGTCCGAATAGTTGGTAAATCCCAACATTATAGATTATTAAAATTTTTGGTGAACAACAACAGTAAACATCGCATTCAAGTTGTTGCCTGGAACGAAGAAATTGATCGTATAATTTTATATACAACCAAATCGAGTAAGCGATACATTTTTGTATAATTTATTTTTTATAACATTAAAATTATTATTTTTATTATCATTTTGTTGTAATATTTAAAAAAAAGTTTATTCCAATAAAGTACATATAAAACAGTAGTATTAGAATAATATTAATTTAATATACATATTTAATTTAATAATATTTGTTAATTTTGCAGATTGTGCATATTGATGGTGCTAAGGCTAAAAAGGTAAAAATACCTGAATTCAACCAAGGGACACTTCAATACGAACTAATTATTCGATCCAACACGACAATAAATACGTTGGGTAATTTTGACCTAAAAAAAACATTCAAGCGGTGCAACCACAATTAGTGGAATTGTGTGATGTACCTCAACATCTTAATGCATGCATTAGTAAGTGTTTTTTATATGTATATAATATACTTTATACTAAAATCCGGTATTTCTTATATATCGATAAACATTTGTATGCAAACGTACGTATAAATATGTAACTATATGCTTTATAAATCTTTTATATACATATTTTTTACATAATTTCTTATTTTTATACTGTTTGATTTTTATAATTATGAGATTTAAATATTTTCTATAAGTCAATTCGTTATAATACGTGATAAACTAAAAATGATATTGATGAACTAAAGATGAATCTTGTGATAAACTAAAATTTAATAAAATTTTTTTCAGTTATACGTGGATACATTAAAACAATTTTAATAAATTTCTAAATAGTTTTAAAACATTGGCTGCGGATCCATTACAGATAAGATGTATAAATTGGAGATACAAATAGTAAATTATGATAATGATGTCTACTTTGACAAGGGGCAAATGATTGAAATGAAAGGATATGTAAAATTATGAGTAAGCTATGTGAACAAGTTTTAAAATTTCAAAAATATAATTACTATATAACTGTCATTAATATTATAATTTTATCATTTAGATGACGTATTTTATTTGGAGATTGATCATTCAACAGACATAAGCAAATAGGAGAGGAAAAGTTATCATTTCAACAATTATTGTTGGGTACAAGACCAATTGTAAAAAAACATCCAATGAAGATTTAGGATTACCACCACGCAAAATGATTCGAAAATAATGATTCTTTTCCATTTTATTAAATAATATGTGAAAATAATTCTAATATTAAAAAATTTTTTTTTAACGCGTTCACAATGTTTGGTTATAATTAGTTTCACTTTCGTGTTATTTAAACGTTATAATATTTTGAAAGTATTTTTATATACTCTTCTAGAAACTATATATAGTATCAAGTATCAATTTTTTATCGAACTTTGACATTAAGTAAAATATAATTATTTCAATGATGTTAAAAATAAATGTCACCATTCGTTACATAAGTAATGGTTTTTCAAAAATGATGTTATGTATTATAATGTATTTTATGAAATAAAATTAAATTTTATGTAAAATGTTTTCGTAAGCAAATTGCATTACGACAATTTATAGGATATTTTTGTACTTAATTATTGTGTATATCATATGTTGTATTATTATATATTGCAAGAATGTAGATATTATTCATATTTAATTTTAATATGGCCGAGATATCGAGTACAATAATTATATTTAAATCAGATTTCAAACTACAGGATTAGTCGTTTATTAATCATCATTCATACTTTCTATGCAGATGTAAAATAAAAAATTAAATTTTGCAAATCGAAGGATTCTTTTTCTTTTTAATATTATCGATCTCTGTTTTTTATGTTTAATTTACTCAGGAGTAAGCAAAAAGATAGCCTATTTCGACATAATAATTAGTTTAATGTATCATAAATTTTGGCTAGAGAGTACTGAAGTAAAATGATATTATATCTTTTTCTCTTAATTATTTTATAAATAGATAAATTTGCTTAATTATTTAATTAAATCCTATCAATTGTGATAATGCAATATGCTTACAAAACATTCTACATAAAATTTAATTTTATTTCATAAAGTACATTGTATTACATATAACATCATATTTGAAACATCATTATTTATGTAACGAGTGGTGACATCTATTTTTCAACATTATTGAAATAATTATATTTTAGTTAATGTCAAAGTTTGGAAAAAATTGATACAGCATACTGTATAGTCTCTAGAAGAATATATGCAATAATGCAATATGTTACGAAAACATTCTCATAAAATTTAATTTTATTTCATAAAATACATTGTATTACACACTGAAAAAAAGATTATTTAAATTCAACTAATATTTAGTTGAATAAGTTTAAATAAATCATTTATTTGAAACAATGGATCCGCTTTGTTTTAAAACTATCTGAAATATGGCCAATCACAACCATTTCTCTGAAGAATAAAGGATTATGATTGGTGAAATATATTATTAATCGATCTTAGACATAGACATAGGAATATTTCTATATTTATGATCTCAGATTAATTATACCTACTTTATTCGAAAATATGAAAACAATTATCTATTTTAACCAAGAAATTTTGAACTATTATTCATATCTACCAAGTTAACGCATATTTATATAGATGAATAGGCATTACTATACTTTTTCTTTTGTACAATTATTTTTTGAATAATTTTTTTTTAGAAAATATATACTATTTCCTTTCTATAAATTTATTTGTTCTAAGGTCATCTCGTGTGTCTTGTTCATGACTTACTTCATACATATATCATAATATTTCACAAAAGTTTTCACAATATTATGTCTATAAAGAAATATAATTAAAGAAAAAAATAAGTATAAAATTTTATTAGAAAAAGTAAGAAGATATTAAAAACAAAGAGAGAAAGAGAAAAATATAGAAATATATTGAAAAAAAAGAAGAGAAGAAGGAACAATAAAGATAAGAGGTATATATATATATATCTCTATATATATATACTATATAACGAAAATATTTAAAATATATTTGTTTACTCTTGGTAATTATGAAGAAGAGAGGCTTCCTTATCGATTTCATTGAAATTTCGCAATTTTGTGCATTTTAATTATTTTATAAATAGTGCGTAAAACACGAATCTACAAGTTAAAATTACTGCTTTCAATTAAAAAAAAGTTATTAATTACTTTTCAGTGTACCAATTATTCTCTACTCTAAAAAAAAGCATAAATTATTTTTTTTTAACCATTAAATTCAATATATAATAATAGTTCACACACACACACACACACATAATCACACAATAAAACTGCATATTTATCAAAGAAATAATAATGTAAGTTTTTTTAAAGCAGAGAATAGTTGGTATGTTGAATTGTGTGTCTAAATCTATATTAATATAATAAATATTCTAACTACACAACTATTAGCTTTAGTATTTATAATATTTTTTTCCAATTGAGAGCGACAATTTTAACTTCAAATTTTCTATATAAATTTGAGCGCGGTGGAAACAGCTTGTGCAAAGTGTTGGCGAGTTCTCTAATGGTTTCTCGAGGATTTTTGTGCACGAGATCTTTAAGAAGCGTTTCATTAATCTCATGAGATCGACCAGAGCAAGCTTGATCTTCTATATTAAAATCACCAACTTCGACTCTTCGATACAAGTTGCGAACTGTCTGAATGACGCAGACATTCTATACATATATAGAAAACATCTCATTCAGGTTCTCTTTATATGTGTAGAGTGCCTGTGTCATTCACATAATTCGCAACTGATATCGAAGAGTCGAAATTGGCGATTTTAATATAGAAAATCAAGCTTGCTCTGGTCGATCTTATAAGATTGATGAAACGCTTCTTAAAGATCTTGTGCACAAAAATCCTCGAGTAATCATTAGAGAACCCGCCGATACTTTGCACAAGTCCGTTTCACCGCGCTCAAATTTATAAAACTTGAAACGAACTTTCCGAACAACCTAATATTTGTGTATTATGTATTTTATGCAGTTTCAAAATAGAAAAAGATATCAAAAACAAAGATAGAAAGAGAAAGAATATAAAATATATCAAAAAGAGAAAAGAAGAGAAGAAGGAAAAGGTATATATATATAATAACAATATATAATAAAAATAATAAAACTATATCTGTTACTCTTGGTAATTATGAAGGAGAGAGGTTTTCTCATCGATTTGATTAAATTTCACAATTTTGTGTATTTGGTGCGTAAAACACGAATCTACAAGATAAAATTGCTGCTTTCAATTAATAAAAAAGTTATTAATTACATTTCAATGTATCAATTATTCTCTGCTTTAAAATAAAGCATAAATTCTTTTATTTTTTTAACCATTTAATTTAATATCTCTTACAATATATTCACACACACATACACATATATACACAATCATAACTGCATTTTTATCAAAGAATATAATAATGTAAGATTTTTAAAGCAGAGGATAGTTAGTATATTGAATTGTGTGTCTAAACCTATATTAAGATGACAAATATTCTAACCACACAACTATTAGCTTTAGTATTTATAATAATTTTTTTTCAATTGAGAGCGACAATTTTAATTATAAATTTATGTTTTGCGCACCAAAATATACAAATACAAATACAAAATAAAAAATACAAATAATAAGATACAAATATTTACAGTCCCTTATCTCTTTCGTAATTACTTTATTCTTTTATACAATGTTTAAATATGCTATATATCCTCTGCTTAAGATTTCAAAGTTAAAGAAAACAAAGAATTGAAAAAAACATAATTTATTTAATTGAAAGTGCGAATAAGACGCTAAAAAACAAAAAAGAAACAATATAAATATATAAGAAAGAAAAGAAGAAGAAAAGAAGAGAAATGATAAAAAATAAGGTATTTATTTAATTAAGTAAACATTTAAATTTATATTAATAATACAAATTTTTAAGGCTCCTATATTAGGAGTCCTAATATTAAATATAACTCGTAATATAAAGGCTATGGAGCCGTACGCGGATGTTGGTGCGTCGATTCCAACGAAAAGTCCAACATCCGCGTACGGCTCCATAGCCTTTTAATATTACGAGTTATATTTATATGTATTAATAAATTTACTTTTTTGTATATGTTTATATATTTATATATATTTTATGCTTAAAGTTTCAAAATTAAAGAAGACAAAGAAGAAAGAGAAAGAAGAAAATTTTATTCAATACAAAGTAAAAAGACGACAAAAAATAGGAATAAAAAGCAAAAAGATATAAAAAAAGAAAAAAAAAAAAAGAAGAAATAATAGAAAGAAAGGTATACATATATTACAAAAATATTTATTAATATTAATGTGTATATTTAATAAAAGATTTTCTAATACGATTTTCTACAAAAATGTTAAGATTGCATTAATTTCTGAATTATAAACAATAAAATTTACTAATAACATAATTATATTAATATTTAATATTTTCTTTTTTAGCAATTCAACGGGATCATAAACTAAATGGAAAATAAGCTAGACATAATATTAAATTAAATTTTATTTTTATTTATTCAATTATTTAATTATTTAATTATTTAATTAAAATTAACCTTAATTTGAATAAATTGAAATTGATTTTTACTTGATTGAAATTGATTTTATTTTACTTTTTGAAATTGACCTTGACTTGTATTGAAATTAATCTTGACTTGGATTGAAATTGGCTTTGAATTGGATTGAAATTGTTGACTTGGATTAAAATTGGCATTAATTTGGATTGAAATTGACTTCATCTTGGATTAAAATTGACTTTGAATTGGATTGAAATTGGCTTTGACTTTAATTGAAATTGGCTT